TATCCCTTATTTTTTCTTTTCAAATTACAACAGCACCTAATTTTACAAAATTTCACCCCAACTCGCCCAGAAAATGGAAAGTTTTTCTTGTTGGGAAATAAAGGCAAAAACTGCATTTTTAGCCATGTTGGTTTAATGTCATAACTGTTTTAATCCAAATATTCCAACTTTTGGCCTTTTGGTAGTGTGATTCAATATTTTGATGCAATTTTTAAGTCATTTGAGGACTTAAATTGCAACAAAATTTTAATTTATAGGACTTAAATTGCTAATCGAAAATTTGATAATTTGGGAATTTGTTGCAATTTTAGTTCTCTTTACTGAAATTGCAGCAAAATATTATATCACAAGACCAAAAAGCAAAATGTTAGAACCGAGATTAAAACTACTATGGCGTTAAACCAGCACGACTAAAAATACAATTTTTCGAAAATAAACTACCGACTAATCTTTGTAATCAATCATTAGATTTCGTATGGTCGCCTCACAAAGAAAGGGGATACTGAATGCGAGCTCGACTTATTCATCATGCAAGAAGACAGTAAGAAGATAGTTGACCAAGGCAAGCAGAGCATGTTGACCACTAGTCTCGAGATGGAGCTCAGCCGACCCCTTAGAGTGGGCCTCATCAGCCGTGGGCCGGATACTGAGCTTCTGGTCGCGAACCCGATCGACCTATTGGGAAAGGGCCGCCCTTTAGTTTTCCACGATATAACCCTCGCTCTCAAGTTGCTTAACAAACCAATCTTTTCCGTAATTTTTTTTTCTGCACATTCGTTTTCCAATATAGCTTCTCTTTCGGATTGTATATTGCAAAGAAGAACACCCTTGTGTTTGGTCTAATCACGAGAAAGTTTTTTCGAAATTACAGATTCCTCTCGTGATTTGTGTCCTTTTCTCACAAGTATGCAATTTTGAAAATATGAATAAATGCAGAGGGAGAGTTAAAAAGTTTAAAAACACATACTTGGGAGTGTTCAAAAAAAGTTTTTTTTTTTTTTTTTTT